TGCCACCATCACATTCCATCCCCCTCTCCATGCAGCATCCTACCCCCACCCCTCACACTGCCATGTCACAGAACAGAATTTTCAGCAGCTGGCTTGTTCTCAAGGTAAAATGGCGAGATGTCAAAAATGATAATGAAGGTCACCAGAAACCAGACAGCTGAGTTCCCAAACGCTGTAAGTTGACAACGTCAGAAGAGCATCCAGGTATGAGGTGGAGGGTCTGGAGGGCTTCTCTCCTTAGAAGGACCGATGGTGTGACTTCCTCTTTCTAAAATATCTCTGCATAACTAAATAGCAGGGCCCATCAATTTCTTGAAAAGAAACATCTGTGGCTTCCGTTTTAGGGTAGGAAAGGCATTCTCCTTGAGTCAGAGAAAAGATTCAAGTTATCTGGAAATCCTTTTTCTTAAGAAAATCTCTAAGGCCAGAGACCCCAAAATTCAAATTAATGATATATTCAGGGATCTCCCAACCTTTCAGTAGTGAAATTTTTATCACTTTGACCCAAAGGACATATGTACTACCCTTGGGACCTGTTCCCATTTTTTCTACCTTCAGTAAAATCAGAGTTGATGCTAACTTTAATTCACTCATTTATGTAATGGACTCGAGACTTTTGCATTAAAAATTAAACAGTAGATAATCCACAAGTAATTTCCTTTCGGCAGTGAGTATGTGAAAGCTTTTCCTTGTACTAATTTTACCTACCTGTTTATGTTTCCTTCACCATAACACTGACCTTGGCTCTGTTCTCTGGGGGTGAGCTCTGTTCTTACTTGGTGGTAGGGGAATCTTTCTTTCTTTTCTTTTTTTTTTTTTCCAAACATTTTATTTATTTATTTGACAGAGAGAGATCACAAGTAGGCAGAGAGGCAGACAGAGAGAGAGGAGGAAGCAGGCTCTCCACAGAGCAGAAAGCCCAATGCGGGGCTTGATCCCAGGACCCTGGGATCATGACCTGAGCCAAAGGCAGAGGCTTTAACCCACTGAGCCACCCAGGCGCCCCAAGGGGAATCTTTTTAAAGAGCATCAGGAACACTGCAGAAGCCAGGCCAGGAGAAACGACTCCTTTGTCAACTCCCTCCAGCAGCGACTACAACTTTGCTTCCCACATAGCAACTTACATGCATCAATAACTTTTTTTGATTGAATGAAATAAAATCAGTTGTCTCTGTATTTTTGCTAATTCAGTGAAAAACTTTATCAAAGTGAGAGCCGAAGTGAATAGGTGGAGAGTGGTTTAACTGAAAAGATTTTTGTAATCATGGTCAGAAGTGAACGGTACTATTATCAGCGCACGATGCATCTGACTATGAGGTATTTCACAATTTGAGACACAAATGGGACCAAGTGTGTGACCCTGATAATATTTACAACACAGCTCTTTCTTTCTGTGGGACTCAAACTTTACCTGTTAAACCTACTTACAAACCAGATAATTTTTTTCTGCTGACATACCCCTTGCTAAATTTATATCCCATATGTGGAAATGGAGTCTGGAGTTTCTGAATGAACTTATTAACGTACTTGAATAATGGTTAAGAGCATGGAATGGTGGGTTTCAGAAATGGGGAAATGAAGCAGGAAAATCCCTTATTCAGGACATCAGACTGAGAAATAAAGCTAGATGGCATTTGACGGTATTAGTTCATCCCAGGTGCTCTTTCCATTAGCTATGAGCCAGTGCAATAAAAACGAGGCTTCACGGGATGCTCAGTCACAACCCAGACAACTGAGTATTACTCCTAAAACGTTTCAGTATCTGTGGCATTTGGGAAAATAAAAGTTTTGCCTCCTTGAGTATCTGGTTTTTATTAATTTTTTTTTTTTTTTACAAAGTATGACTAATGCCTCTTTGTAAAATAATAGATATAAATACCTAAAACTTGGGGCATCTGGGTGGCTCAGTCAGTTAAGCATCTGACTCTATTTCGGCTCAGGTCATGACCTCTGGGTTCTGAGATCGAGCCCCACATCAGGCTCTATGCTGGGTCTAGAGTCCACTGGCAATTCTCTCTCTCCTTCTCCCCCTCCTCCTCTGCTCCCACACATGCTCTTTCTCTCTAAAAAAACAAAACCTAAAACTTAAAAAAGATACTGTGGTTGTAGGTTTTTAATAAAGGGATTCAGTCCCAACTGCAGCCTGAGAATATCAGGGGGACTGCTGGTTTACAATGCAGCCAGCCCCCTCCTGTGGAAACACAGTGTGCCAACTTTGCTATGTCCAATAGTGGGGACCCAACAGTGAAACAACGCTTCCCTGGTACCCAGCTAGGAAGAGGACTCTCAGGGGCATGTTCAATGATAGAGAAATGCTTAGGATGTCTTAAGTGGAGCTCTTGCCTGGGCCATGTGTCCTCAGTTTGGGGATGATGGGCCATGGAATGGGATCCCTCCATCACGGTTAAGAGCACCACCACTCAGCTGATCCCAGGCTGGGATCCCAACTCCCCCTGCGAGCTGTGTCCTCAGTGGACAGAGTCGGCCCTTCTCTGCTCCAGTTTCTCCATCTGCCAAGTGAGCATGGTGCCCACCTCGACATGCTATTGTGAGAATTATGATAAAATGCATGATAAGCACCTTGCATAGTGTCTGGTGCCCATGAACACTCAGTAAAAAAATAAGTACAGAAAATAAGCTGTTAGTTATGTCCGATTATTGTTTCTATTTTTTATGCTTTATGACAAATTTACAAACTTCAGCCATACAAACAACTACCTAAGATCAATTTTGTTAAAGGTAAGTACGTCGGAAATGACAGTGACCTGGATGGAGTCGGTGGTATTAGAAAAGGTGCTGACTTGGCACAAATCTTAAAGACTGTGTATTTCAACTTGCTTGTTTTTATAGATGAGGGAACAAAGGCCCAGAATGGTGACTTCCACTGCAAGCAGAGAAGAGACCCCAGATTTCCACACTAGGCAAGGATGCACCCATGAGACCAAGGCAGGCCTCTCTTTTATGAGTGTGTATGATGTGATGATGTTAACTGAGTCAGTGGAGAAAGGCAGGGCTGTAGAGAATAGGAAGAATCAGAGACTTTCAAGGATCCCAATATGGAGACCATCATGGGGAAGTCAGTGAGAGAAGGCGTTCTGATGTGAAGGAGAGCAGATGTTTAGTTTTCAACATTGTCCGCTTAGAGAAATATCTAAGTGGGTTTCACCTATGGGAAATTTCCTAGCTAGAAGTGGAACCTTGGTGTTAGGACTGGGCCAGGACTAAGAACCTGGTAGAAGAACACACAGAATTAAAAGATGCAGCTGTGTTCAACACACTTTCCAGTGGAAGAGACCCAAGGGTCCCGAGCTGAGCTGAGAGGGTCCACTGAAATTAAAAAGAGAAGACAGAAATGCCACAGAGGAAGGGGAATATTGGGCTAAAGAGCCAATGACTTGGTATCAAGGTGGGCACAACCATCATGTCTGAAATTAGGAAGGAGGCCAGGTAAAATAGTTGGAAAAAGAAACCACATGTCCTTTGAATTTGACTAGGAGGCAGCCATCAACAAATAAAAAAGCAGTTTCTGGGGTGGGAAATGAAGCAGCCTGAATCCCTTATTCAAGAAATTAGGCTAGGAAATAAAATAGGAAGGTATTTGATGATAGTTGGGAGAGATGGCAGAGCAAAGTAATGGCTTATTCAAGATAAAGGACTCTATGAATATTTGAAAGCAGAAGGGAAGAGATGAAGGAGGAGAGATTAAAGTTTTGGGGAAGTAGAAGATAAACCCTGAATAAGAGTTCTCAGGAGGCAAAACAGCAAGAGATCAAGGCAAAGTTGGACTCACTAGCATCAAATCCTCCAGACATCTCTCCCTCTTGATATGTTGAATGTTCTGAGTTTGAAGTTATGTCAGAGCTTTGGGAAGACTTAGGGTATTTATCAGGACTTGAAAGTTCCACTTACTCGATTTCATTTTATAAACGAAACAATTAATGGCAAACTGAAGTTTGGGGTCCATTTCCTCTGGTGTGGTGTGGCTTGAACTTCCCCCACGCACTTAGCACAGCTGGCATTAAGTCATTACCTGTGTTATTATTTGCTTAGAGCCTTTCCTATTTGATGGATCTAAATAACACACGGGGAAAGCTCACATGTGTGCTTTAATCCAGCTCCCAGCAAGCTCTGCAGGGCCAAACATAGTGTGGGAGTCTGATAAATATTTGTGAAACGGGTGAATAAAGGAATGAATTAGTGAGTGGCCTCTCCCACAGAAAGCAAACTTGCATCCAGGGAGATAATGCAGGATTTGCCTTATTCTCTGGAAGTGAATGAGGCAGTTTAACAAGTGCATTGCCTCTTTAACAACCATGTGGTTAAGGACCTGGGGCTTTTCCTGAAAGCATTTCCAGTATCTTAAAAAATCATCACACACCCCAAAGATATCATGAAAACTAGTAGAAGAATCTGTCCTTGAATGCAGATAAGAAGCAAATTTAACTGGAGAGTGAGATGGTATGCAACATATTTATACTTTCTCAATGGCAATTTGCTTCTACTTTCCTATCCGTGAAATGGGAATAATAGTTAAGAGGTGCTGAACATAATTAAGATTGCAAAGTACTTTTAGCAGAGTCTGATGCATTAGGGTTAACTCTGAGTATTATTCCATCATTTACTTTCTCTAAAAGTTAAGTTTCCAACCTTGTATATTATTTTTATTATAATGCAGTTAGATTACTAGGAGGGCTGAGCTTTTATAGCTTTTCCATCTAAAAACCTTACTACTCATCCAAAGCTGATAAGATCCAAGATTCAGGAGGCATTACTACATCAAGTGCAGTCTATAAATACCTGTGGACTGCCTAAATCATGATTTAATATTAAAAGAGGCTTCATTTCACCCTCACGAAAAATCCCAGGCTCAGGAAGGCTAAGCTACTTGCCCAGCCTCACCCAGCATCGGCAACTCAAATCCAAGCTTTCTGATGGCTGCCTCAAGTAATTTCGCATATCTGTAGCTGATTGTAGCTCTGATTTCTTTCTTCTTCCATCAGGAAACGATGATCAGAAGCCCTCCACAGAATGGTTTCTCATCATTCTTGTGGGAACCATCTGCTTCATCCTGTTAATTTTCACTTTCATCTGTAAAATGTAGGTATTTTTTTATTTCAATGTTTCCAATGAGGTCTGAGTATTGAATTTTTACACTTCTGCCATGCATTCGCTAGGGTGCTTGTTAGCAGTTGGAATTACAGCACTTTGCTGTCTTTTGGACAGCCTTTCCAAGATGAGCAGGGACCAAATTAAAAAGTGAGAAACATCTTTAGGTGATTTATTGAAACCAGACAGAGCATAGGAGGGCCCCTCAGCCATTACACACCCTTCTTGAATTTGAGGACAGTGTATTCATTTCTGTGAAGCTTTTTACTTTCATGTTCTTTTGATTCCTTTACTGCCTTGTCAGTATTTGGTGTTCTTAGTTGAGCCACTAGCAGACTCCTTTTATAGCTTGGGTAAAGGAAGGCAGCCCCCTGGAGACTGAAGTCACCCCAGTGCCCATGGTATGATCTCCAATTAGGAGGTGACGACTCCTACCTTCACCCTCTGTTCACCTGGTCCCTGAGTGGCTGACTGTCCTTTGGTCAAATATAGACTGTAGAAAGGTCATGCAGATCTGGTGAACAATCCATGAGCCTGCAAATGCCCCATAAGAACTCCTCACCCACTTTGGCTCTAAGTAAGGCAAAGAGCCATTTAGGAGGCTTAAGAACATGTTCTGTCTCAGTCCTTTCATAATTTAGAAAGTTACTGAGGTTTGAAACATTATTATAAATATTATATTCTGTGGGTTGGAGGGTGGCAGTTCAAAGCAGAGGAACACCAAAGGCAACTCTGTGAGCCAGCACAGTTGAGTGAGGGGGCTAGAGCCGGCATCACAGTGAGTGGTGGGGCGCCAAGGGCTTACAAATCACCCATGTTCCGAAATTAGGCCTGAAAACATGCACCAACGTGAAGTGGGTACCATCATGTCTTTCTTGGATGATTCAGAAGCCAAATCATAGCCCAACTAATATTACAATATAAATAAATATAGTATTTGTAACTCTTGGTCAATACAGTTTTTCAATTTATAGAACAGCAGGTCCTGAGATTCAGTAGGTCAATTTGTAGAGCAGATACTGAAACACAAGAAAGGCTGCTTTGCTCACCTAATTTTCTGCTTTTCTCTGTTTTCAGAGGTCACTTATGGGCCAGGCTGTTTCCACCGGTTCCGGCACCGAAAAATAGTCTTAAAGATTTCCTTGTAATCGTCAGCCCTGAGGTAATGTTGAAGGCTCTCATGATGGGTCCTATCTGCTCAGGGTTGGGTCTCCAGGGATTAGTCATCAGGTTACTGGTTTTGCATATTCCAGGGCAGAGTGTCTATCCAGGGGGGCCAGTGACTTGATGCTGCTCTAGTCATTCTGCTCTTTGGCTCAATATTATGTTACATATGTTCACTACTGTCTTGGAGAATTGGAAAGGTCCTACTCGGCTATAAGTGTCCTCACCAGTCAGACCGGAATTTTTTCTATCAGCCGTCTCTTAACTGAGCTTGGGCAATTCCTTCAACCCCATGAGCCCTGACTTCTTTTTCTGTGTAGTCAAGGGCCATAGATGAGATGGTCCAATGTTCTGTTTAGCTCTGATGTTTCTGCACATGGATACCCTAATCAGTAACATTTTTCAGAGGAACTTTTCCTAGTTCCTTAGTTAAAAAAAAAACAAACAAACAACAACAACAACAAAAAACAGAGAAGGCAAATGACTTCCTCAAAAATGCATTTCCTGAGGTCCTATTTGCCATTCAGAGCACTTAGGCTTAACTGAATGCTCACCTACTCATGGCTGCCCAAGTGTTTTAGCATCATTTTGTTGGGGGAAAAAAAAAAACATCCTTTTCCCATTGAGTTGTGTTGGCATCTTTGCTGAAGATCAGTTATCTATATATGTGTGGGTCTAGTTCTGGACTATCTACTTGCTTTCATTGATCTATTTGTCTATCATTATACCAAAGCAGTCTTGATTACTATAGCTTTAGTGCAAACCTAGAGATCAGGTTAGTGTAAGGCTTCCAAACAGGATTTAAAAAAAAAAAAAGATTTATTTATTTAAGGGGCTCCTGGGTGGCTCAGTCAGTTAAGTGTCCCTCTTTGGTTCATGTCATGATCCCAGAGTCCTGGGATTGAGCCCCGTATTGGGCTCTTTGCTTGTGGAGAGTCTGCTTCTCCTTCTGTCTGCTGCTCTGCCTGGCTTGTGCTCTATCAAATAAACAAATAAAATCTTTAGAAAAAAGATTTATTTGAGAAAGAGAGAGCACATGAGTGGGAGAGGCAAAGGCAGAGCGAGAGAGAGAATCTCAAGCAGACTCCATGCTGTGTGTGTAGCCCTAAGTGGGGCTCAGTCCCATGGTCCTGAGATCAGGACCTGAGCCAACACCAAGAGTTGGAAACTCAACTGACTGAGCCACCCAGGCGCCCCCAAACATGATTTTTTTCCAAAGTTATTCTGGTCATTCTAGGTATTTTGTTTTGCATTCCCATATAAATTTTAGAGCAACTTTATTAATTTCTACCAAAAAAGCTGCTGGGATCTTGATTAGGATTGTGTTGTACTGTAGGTTAATGTGGAAAGAAGTGACATCTTAAAAATGAGTCTCCCAATCTGTAAACATGACATAGCATCATGTATCGACCATTAGATTTTCTTTATTTTCTGTCAGCAATGTTTTATGATTTTCAGTGTACAGTTATTATACACTTTGTCAAATCTGTCCTTAAATTAAGTGGTTATTTAGATTAGGGGTCAGCAAACTTTCTCTATAAAGAGCCAGATTGTAAATACCTAACAACCAAATGGATTCCCTCAACTCTTCAATGCTGCCATTGTGGTGTGAAAGTAGCCACAGACAGTATGCAAATGAAGGGGATTGGCTCTGGCCAATAAAACTTTATTTACAAAAACAGGCAATAAGCCAGATTCTATCCACAGGCTATAGTTTACAGATCCCTCATGTAGGTCAAGCTACTTTCTTAACAAATTCAGTTTTCTAACGAAGTGCTTCATGAAGGGATGAATAAATTGGTGGTTGTAGGGCAGTAAGGGTCAAACTCTGACTGAAATGGATCATTTTAGTAAGCTGTGACCTTTAGAGTTTTCGATTTGGGTGTTTGGAATAATTATAGACCACAGTAGTTACAAACCTAGTCAGGCAAATAACTGAGTCAGACAGAAGAACCACTCTATCCTTACTTCCATCCTGAGTTCGCCTTTATCAGGGAATAGGGGCTTTGCTTTTGTTAACCCATAGCTTTTCTGGAAGAAGAACGGACCCCAGTGTGAAACTTTGTTTTGGTTTCATCTGAATTTGTGCTGTCAATCCCTCCTTGCTCCAGCATACTCATCCCTGCTAAACTACATCTGATTTTAGCAGCCCACGGCAGTCATTTGTCTTGTCTCTTAATGGAACATCTTAATGCTGGTATCTAATTTCCCTATAGAGCCCCCAAAGATTTTCTTTAATATTCTGAAGCTGGTGAAAGAAACTGGCTTAAGAGCTTATTGTATAAGCTTGTGGTTTGTTGTTAATTAAAATCAAGTCATGTGTGCAAAATAACAACTTGGGGTAGACAAGCTGGTTTCAAAATAAGCAAAGGATTAATGTCATAGCTCAACATTGCTAGACTCCTCTTAGACAACTTACTTTCTTCTCACATTGTTGCATTTCATGTAAAAAAAAAAAAGACATGAGAGACAGAGACCAACAGAGGTAGCAAGTAGAACTCAGAAAATGAAGTATTGCCCCATAATTTTGTCCCCCTATGGCCTAAATGCTCTACCTAGGAGAATATGCAAGCAAGTTCAGAGCTGACCACAACCTGGGCCCTATGTAGCAGTGCCCCAGCCTGTAGCTTTGAAGGTAAAGCCCTTCAGACTCACCCTCGCGGCCTCTGCTACAAGGTTTGGTGGGGGGGGCAATTAGTGCTATCGGCAGTGATGATTTTGCATCCCACTAGGAAGCCTTTAGTGAGTGGGAAAGGAAGCTTTCTGCTTTCAGTTACAACCTGAGTGTCTGAGCTTGGTGTGGGTACCCAGAGTTCTGGGATTTGGAGGATATCTGCCATCCCTGAGCTCTCATTAAGCAAGTTTTTGCTTGTTCAGACCCAAGTCAGAAATTGTTTTGTAACGTTCAAGGGACTGGTACCAGCAGGGAGAGGTGGGAGGGAAGATGGAAGGCCAGAAGTTGACCTTTATCAATTACAAAGAAGGCAGCTTTTTGTTTAAAACAAAAAAAAATGTATCCTGTGTTTTAGATTTGTTACAAACCAGTTTCCAGCTGTTCCTTATTTCTATTCCTTATTTCTACAATGGTAACCAGAGAGGGTTCCTTCCAAAATGAAGTATAAACCATTAAATTCTAGTACCTAAGGCAGAGAGCACATCTGCTGTTTGTCACTGCATACTCAATGCAAGGCAGTGTCTAAGGTACAACAGGTATTATAGGTATTAAAAAATGTGTTAAATGAGGGGTGCCTGGGTGGCTCTGTTGGTTAAGCATCTGCCTTAGGCTCAGGTCATGATCTCGGGGTCCTGTAATTAAGCCTGAGTTGGGCTCCCTGCTCCCTCTCCCTGCCCCCCTCCCCATGATTGTATGTGTGTGTGTGTGTGTGTGTGTGTGTGTGAGAATGCACAATGCACTCTCTCAAATAAATAAAATCTTTTTAAAAATGTGTTGAATGAGTAAACAAAGTAGAGAAATATCTCTTGTAGGTTATTTCTGTCACAAAGTTTCTCATTAATAACATTATAATAGCCCAACTTAGACAAATACATATCCAAATTTAAGGGGAAACTACAATAAACTATGAATGAAAAGTGGTAGAACTATTCAATGATGCAGCCCAAGAATATATATTTTGAAATATTACATGATATCACACAGAAAGTAATTTATGAAGCTGACTATCCATTTGCTTCATTTAATTAAAGGTAACTTTGTACCTAGAAAACAGGGCTGGAGAGAAGACAATGAGCTGTGTTTGGAAGACAGGGTGGTGGATAGATTTTTGTTTTCTTCTTATTTTCCATATTTTCTTAGTGAACATTTACTATTTTTATAAGGAAAATACACTTAAGGAAATAATTGTGAAGAAATTCAAGAGAACAAAGAGGGTACTACAAGACATCTAAGGGAGGATGTTTTGTTTTACAGAAAACTGTTTCCAGTGAAACAGAAATTGAAGTCATAAGTTATGTGGAAGAGTCTGGACTTGAGACCCTGGAAGATTCTGCGTTTTGATCGGCACTATAACATTCTCAAAAATGAACTCACACTCACATGCCTCAGCGATAAGAAGAACAGGAACTGTTGTTTCTTGGCTAAGAAGAGCTCCACATTTACTGAACACTCAGTTTAGCTGCGAGGCAATACACTCAGACGAATCTCTTAGAAGCATGGATTCCTCCTCAAAAACTCCTTGCTTCTCAGGGTGGTTGATCAATCTGACCATTCTGACATGTCTTTTCTTCCTATGCTGCAGGGTACCAACGTCTCACCTGCCAATCTCCATGCTTTACGTTACTTACCTCAAACTTTTGTGCAAGAGACAGTTTTTAAGGCTGATGTCAACTGGTGGGGCCCGCTTTATAGCTGAGGCTGCCAATGGTAATACTCAACTGAAATATCAGCGAGAAAGCATTCTGCCCAGCCTGGAGTTAATTATGAGCTTAGATTCAAGGCTGTCTTTCCTAGAACAAGTGGGAGCCATGGTGCTTCCCCCCACTCCCGAGTTCTAGAATACTTTTTCTTTCAAGTCATGTGGGGGGGGGTGGAGGGCTATTTATGATTTAAGAAGCTCGATTTGAGGCAAACTCAACATGAAGAGCGATCACTCCATACCAAAGCAGAGAATAGGATTTTATTTGGGATTATAGTCTTGAAGGCAGCCTTGATTTTCAGGAATATACTGAGAGAGCCATTAGGTAGAATTGGGTTGGGAAAGGGATTGCTCAATCAAGAAAGAACTTTCTGGAGAGATGTTTGCTTACACATAGAGAGCAGCTTGTTGGGTGCTAGTCAAGGAGCTCTGGGTCCATCCTACAAGCATCCCTTCAAACATCCCAATCTAGGCATCCTCTCGACATCTTCCTATAGGAGTCTGCATGTAGACTGAGGGCCTTTATGATGGGCAGTGGGCTACAGATAGAGCCAAGTGCATACAAGTGTGTCAAGGGCAGAGAAGAGGTAGGAGGAACAGTTAGTAATTGAGAGGACTCCCAACAGTGCTGATGGAACCTGGCCCTGGAGTAGGAAGCTTAGGACAGAGAAAGGAGGTCACAGTATTCCAAACCCCTGGTATGGCAGCATACTCTATATGTTTTTATTGCCTGTTTCCAAGTATTAGGGACTGAATGTTTGTGCCCTTCCCCCTCCAATCCATGTTGAAACTCTATACCCCAAGGTGATGATATTAGGAGGAGGAGGGTGGTGGTCTTTGAGCAGTGATTAGATCATGAGGGTGGAAACTTCAGGAAGGAAATTAGTGTTCTTTTACAGGGACCCTAGGGAGTTTTCTTTCCTCTGTGTAAAGATAGGAGAAGTTGGCATTCTGCAACCAGTACGAGGGCTTTTCTGAGAACCCTGCCATGTTGACACCTTGAACTGGGAACACCAGACTCCAGAAATAAGAAATAAATCTCTGTTGTTTATAAGTCACCTGGAGTATGGTTCTTTGTCATAGCAGCCTGAGCTAAGATGCCAAGGGTTAGGAACTACACCAGGTACTTCACGCATCATCTCTAATCCTGAGAAACCCACATCCTTTGGATCACTGCCCCATTTTACAGGTGCAATCACTGAAAAAAGTGCACAATGAAGGGTTGCATACAAGGCTCGAGTAAGCCCTGTACTGTAGAAAAGACTGCTGGGAAAAAGTTGAAGCCTGCTTAGAGATAAGACCAAGATGGCATGGCCCATCAGGGTGCTGCAATCACTGGCAAAATGATTATCTGACTGATCTAGAATCTCTGTGAATGGCGTTCAAGAACCTGATCTTTAGTGAATATTCTTAGACATTCTGAAACTTGCCAGTGCATTAATCACCTGGAGGTATCATTAAAACAGGTTGTTGGGCCCTAACCTCGGTTTCAGATTGAGTAGATCTGGGGTGAGCTCTGAGACTCCCCATTTCTAGTAAGTTCCCAGGTGATGCTGATGTTTGTTTCCCAGTCACACTTCATGAACAGCAGCCCTGGGTGTTTCTGATGAATACCAAAATTTGAAAACCCACTACTGAAGGAGTAAGTGATGGAAAGGTCCTGCCCCAGACTGTCCCCTTTTAGGGCTGATTGTTTCCTGTCTGAGATCTTTCAAAACCAGAACGTGGAAACCTAAGGTTATGGCCACTGCCTCTGCTAGGAGGCTGGAAGAGAAAAAGGAAGCTGCCCCTAATTTGGCTGAGTCCTCTTTTGTGGGTGTGATTCAGAGATGCTTCCCTCAACCCCAGCAGCCAGCCTTCACCTAGGTACTGAACCAGTACCAGCACCTGGATCTTAGTCTGTGTGTTTCAGGAGGAACACATTGTAGATCAAGAGGTCTCCCCAGTGCATTATGACCTTCCTCTTCCTCACTGCTCAGCTCCTACCCATGTTTCGGGAATCCAAATTCCATGTCTCCTTCTCTGTGAAGCCTTCAAAAACAGTTTGGTTGATCCTGCCTCTGGGTTTTCATTCTGGGCTTCGGCCCCTCTCTTGGAGCTGTTGCACTGTAGGACATACCATTCACAGTTTGGATGGCTCCCCAAAGTGTGTGCTCCAGGAGGATGGGGATCATGTGAAATGCATCTTTTTATCTGCAGGGACTAAGACCACTGGACCCTTTAAGCCCTCTTTCAACCCTGGCACAGATCCTTGCCTGTAGTTGGAACTGAGTGATATTTGGCAGAGATCACCAAGGCCTATAATAATATCACGGAAAGGAAGATGAGTGTCTAATGAGAACATGATTGGAAATAACCAGGACACACATGTGTGCCCGACCATCTGGCTAGTGTTCCCTAGTCCTTTTTTCGCTGATGATGTGGCTAAGTGGTAATGTATAAATGCTGTCCAGAAGGAGTTAGGCTTTGGATGTGGCATGTTTTAAGCAGTCTGTCCAGTTTTCACTAGCCTCTCCATGACAAATCAGAATGTGAACATTCTCTTACCAATAAATGCCCTCGTCAACAGGTCGATTAGACATTGGCCCCCACCTCTTTCCATCACCCATTAGAACAAGAGAGAGGGCAAACTGTCTCCCAAAGAGCCTTCAGTCGAAAGCTCAGAACAAACAGTACTTCTCGAAGACATCCTTTCCAATAGGATTTTATTGCAATATCTTTCTTGGAAGTTGGAAATTTCTGAGTGCAGCATAGGGAAAGTGCTGGGGAGACTGGAGGGGGAAGTTCAGTGTGGCAACAGCACAGCCATCTGAGCCTTATTGAAATGCCTCAAGGCCTCAAGCTATTTATGCAGGCTGGGCAAGAATTCCACATGGGCAAAGAACATCCTGATTAAAAATCCAAACGTTTTCATGGTGAGACTTATATGTGTCAGGACCATCTGTTGGTGGAATTAATAAACCTTAGGTGCTAATTTGTTAAAGAAAAAGTAGGTGTCTAGAAGCGAGAACAGAGAACCGAAAACAGTCTTTGGTGGCACGAGGCAAGGTGAAAAACCTAATTAGAACAGGACTTGGTGTTAGCCCAAGGATCTTTGTGACAATGACCGTGTAGCCAGTCCTGCTTCCACACCCTACAAATCAAGTTCCAGAATACAAACTTTTTTGAAAGCCATTTTTCAAAGAATATTATATTGAACCGAAAGACAATCTTATCTTTTTGGCCAGTAGCCCTCTGTTTTAGGTAATACATGTGAATGTAAATTCACTTCAGAAGGAGAACTGTTTCACACAGAGGACGGTGAGTTGTCCAAGTTCACAAACCGGACAGGAGTACCTTTCTTATTCCCTGCCCCCATAGTCTCATCTTTGTCCCCAACATCGTCCTTATCATCTCTCACCCAGGACCATCACAACTCAACTAAAATCCTGGCCTCCAGTATTGTCTTTTTTGGAAGGACCTACATAAAAGGCACATCTGCCTCCATCATCCCCTTCCAAGGCCCTCAGATAAGTCTATCCCTTCAAGTTAAAGCTCCTGTCTACGCTAAGCCCCCGGGCACACAGGTCCTCAGTGGCTCCCCCGCCACATCCCCAAGGAGCGCCCCTCCGTAATGAACGCCGCGCTCTCGCAACCCTCCATGCTTCAGTGCAAGCTTTCTCCTGTGGACAAAGCCTTCTCAATCTTCCTCGTCATCAGTTGACAGTTATCTTCTACATCTCACTCCTTTGCCACCAGGAAATCCGTGTTCCCCAGGTAACTTCCGTTTGATCCTATCCTATCACTTACTATACTATTTAAAATTTGGGGGTCTCATTTGAAGTGAAGACATGCTGAGGTCAAGAACAATGTCCCGCCTGTGTACTTAACCACCGAACTGGAACTGGCTGAATTAGCTAGACAATGAAAAAGTGAATTTCTTAAAAAAATGTACCAGCACAGAAAACGATGTATATTCAATTTTAGCTCGAAGGAACGGAGCTCCACCGGGTAGACTCATTTATTAAAGCTGGACAGCGACAGCCAGAGAGTACACCATCACCAAAGCTTAAAACATGAAGTAACAAGAACTCACAGTTCTGTGGCTCTCTACCTCCCCAGCCGGCCGTCACGTGGGCTCCACCCAGCTCCACCCAGCTCCAGCCGAACTCCCAGGAGCCGACACTACCTATTGGCTCGCGACAAATGAGTGGCAGGTGGAGCAAAATTAGACCACGTGGCCCCCGCGCGTTATCTTAAAGTTGTAGTGGACTCTTTTCACCACGAAGGTGTGTTATGAGGTTAGTTTGATTTATTAAAACGAAAAGCAAAGCTCTGTCCCTCTCAGGTGATGAAATGAAAGAAGACGTAAACCTGAGAAGGGGCATGGGGAATTGGTGGGAAAGAAGTCAACAGTAAAGTACTGGGGTCGGAGTTCAAAAGTCAGTAAGTTTCTTCTTAAAAGATCTGGATAGAAAATATTTTCAGCTTGAGAGCCATCTGTCCTCCGCTGCAACCACTCAGTTCTGCCATTATAGCATAAAAGCAGCCTCAGACAGTATATACGTGAGAGTGGATGTGTTCCAATAAATCTTTATTTACAAAAACCAGGCAATGAGCCAGGTTTGGACTTCGGTCCAGTATTTATCTGTACATAGCTTAATGGATCCAAAATGTTACATTTGAGTGTGCTGTTTCTTTCTTTCTCTCTCTCTCTTTAAAGCAAAGCAACCAATTTGGGAAATATGTTTAATCAATAAAAATCTTTACTATGGGGGGCACCTCAATGCTGCCCTGGGTTGAACATCCAGCTCTTGGCTCAGCTCAGGTCCTGATCTCAGGGTTGTGAGATCAAGCCTGTTAGGCTCTGTGTTCAGCAGAGACTGCTTGAGAGTCTCTCTCTCTCCCTCTGCCCCTCCCTGTCACTCTCTCTCTCTCAATTAAATACATCTTAAAAAAAAGAAAATCATTCAATGGAGGGAGGTGGTGGTGAAAAAATGTGTTGTGTTTGACTGACCTTAACCTTGTTACAAGTTGGTTTTGCAAGAAACAAGGGTCCAGAATTCTGTTCATACGTTTATCTGTTCACACGTTTTACACCATTTGCAAATAAGCATGTGTTTCTGTCACCTCCAGTGAACCCTGAAGAGGGAAGCCTTAATCAGATTTCTGTGGTTTTCCAGTGCCCAGCACAGTGCTCAACACAGAGAA